AACTACAAGAAGGTGAAGTGGGCAGTAGCAAATAAGAATGATGCTAGTGGTGTGAAGAATGGGGAGGTTTACTTAGCTCTTCTTCAGAAGCCTGTTTCAAGATGATACTCTATTACAGGTACCGTCTTAGTCTCTCTGGAAATGAGATTATACATAGTTATAGTTGCGCTGGAGTTAGAAATATTGCTAGTAGTGATAGATCTAAGGTAGTTTAGTATGAATTTTGGTTTTGGCACTCAATTAATGATAGCACCAATAGAGTGTCATAATTAGAATCTCCTTGCTTGTCTCTGAGGAGCTAAATTATGTCCAAATAATGCTAGTTCAAAATTTGCTTTGCTTTATTCTTTACTGAAAATGTTATATTTGTAGAAGTAAATATGGACCTTCACCGGGGCACATTTTGTATTTGCAAGAAGAAATTAATGGTTTTGCTTCACTGATTACAACTTGATACACTGATTACAAAATTATCTAGCACATTCATTTTCTTCTTTTCTTGTACAGTTTGCATACATTCACAAGGAAAGATGTCATGACAGATACTGTTGAAGACACTCTTTTAACTTTTGGAATGTAACTCTTTGATACAAAAGAGTCTATACCATTTGCATAACACTCTTCTGCACTTTCTGATAATGCATTGGCTGTCATCTGTGATTAAGGTAAATGAGTTTCATCAGTAAGCAGCAACAGAAAATTGACTGAAAAGAAAGGATGGTGGCAGAAATAAACTGCCACTATTGTTTTTAGAACACTAATATTATATTGTAGCAGTTATAAACCCCCACATAGCTTTTGTTTTTTTAAAAAAATATTTAAATCATATTTTGGGGGTTTATAAATCCCACAGTATCTTTTTTGAACTATTATGATCATATTAATGGGGTTTTGTAAACCCTCGCATTATTCTTTTTACATGTCGAAATCATATCGCGGGGGTTTTAAACTAGCACTAATTGTCTTTCAAAAGCCCCCACATAACTTGTTTTTAAAAAAATATTTAAATTATATTTTGGGGGTTTTTAAACCCCCACAATATTTTTTTTGAACCATTATGATCATATTGAGAGGGTTTATAAACCCTTACAATATTTTTTTTTAACACATCGAAATCATATTGCGGGGGTTTTAAACTAGCACTAATTGTCTTTCAAAACCCCCACATAGCTTTTGTTTTTTAAAAATATTTAAATTATATTTTGGAGGTTTTTAAACTCCCACAATATCTTTTCTGAACCATTGTGATCATATTGAGGGGGTTTATAAACCCTTGCAATATATTTTTTTTGACACATCAAAATTATATTGCGGGGATTTTAAACTAGCACTAATTATCTTTCAAAACCCCCACAAATTAAAAATTCATTTTGTGGCGGTTGTCATGGAGGTTTTAGAAAGCCGACGCAATAATGCTCGTGGCAAAGGTAACTGTGGCACTTCTAGAAACCGCCAAAATTCTTTTTGTGGGGGTCAAAAACTGTCACAATTTGACCAAAAACCCCCCACAAAGTAAGTGTTTTCTTGTAAATGTGATCAATCTTCTCATAAAAACAATTATGAGGATCAGAAAAGCATGTGGTCCACGTGATATTCACAGAGGTGTTTTGGCGTATCTGGGAGATAGTCGAGGATGATAGCTTACCGAACTATTTAATGCTATACTACGAAATAGTAGAATGCTCACGAGTGGATAAAGACTAACTATGATTTATAAATATTAGGACTTAGGAGATATTTAAAGTTGTGTGAATTATCGTGACATTAAACTTACACTACTAAAAATATGGTCTTTCCCGAAACAAGCTTAATGGCGGACCTTGTCGGTACTTTCTCCGGTTTACTTTAAGTAATTTTTTGACTTTTTTTGTGGTCCATAGTATAATATTTGATTTTTTCAAATATCAAGAAAGAATTAATATCTTTTTTTCAAAGGTGCCCTTGGAGTAAAGAACCTAGGAGTATTTGTTGTATTTCTAATGAAAAAATTAAGGTTAATATGATCAATTACATTATTAATTAACACTAAAAAATAAATTTCTTAAGGGAAAAAGCTTATTATTGCCCTTGTACGTACTATAGTAAATAGTATATGTTTGTCCTCCGTTTTATTTTACGTCCAAAATCCACCCTACCTTTAACGAAGTAAGTGGAATTGTCCTTAACCCTAAGAGATGGTCAATGTAGCACCTGACCCCACAATGTTTTTACCACATAGGATCCAAGTCAGCTATCCATTAATTTTTAGCCTAGTTTGTAACGACCCATTTCACTCCACTGGAAACGAGCTCAAAAATAGAGCAACGTATTATCCATCAACCAACCAACAAACTGAATTTCCAAACTTGAAACAGAGATGAGTGATAGCACCGGTGAATCCAAACAACTTCATAAAGGGTCACAAAATTCTCCAGCGGCGAACGCAGGTGGCCTCAAAACGTTGTGCTTTTTTTATAATCATTCAATCAGATAGAGACTTAGGAAAAACTATACCCACAATTTATTAAAGCACAAGATTAGAATGCACGTCCAAACTACTATATCAAGAACACAATTGAAAATTTAGTAAAAATAATTTCAACCATCAAAGATGTAGCATGTGACAAACAAGATCAATCGAGAAAATCATGGGCCAAGAGACGGAGAAACAGTGAAAGTGTGAGCGACACCAAATCATGGATAATCACAAGCAATCGACAAAGCATACCAATTTCACAACAGAAAAATCACACCAATACGCTAAAGAGCGACGTCCAAAACAACAGGGTCGCCGAAAACTTAGCAGTCACCGGAGTTCGTGTATTCCGGCCAGATTAAGAGAAAGAAAGGCCACCAAATGACATACCAAAGTTAACTTCCGAAGATGGCATTGCTACCACGGCGATAAACATCGTAACAACATTAAAAGCACACAAGGAGTCGCTGGAGAAATGCTCAGACAGCCGAAAGTTCATAAAGGTCGTCGGAATTGCGTTTTTCGGCTAAAATTCGGTGGTCACGATCTGGTAGCTGAGCTTAAAGATTACTTCCGGAGGCCGTTGTTATGAACAAAGAAAGACCAACCGGAGCGGACTCGTAGGTGTTATTTCCGTCCAGATTTCGACTAAAGCTCCAGTGATCTTTACCGGTCACATCCGACCAGATCCAAGGGTTTTGGATGGACCTTCAACGAGATGGAGTTTTCCAGTGATAGAGGTTCCACCATTTTGGTCGCTACTTTTGTCATAACTCAAGGAGAAAGAAAGAGAAGGGGAATAGTTTAGTGGAGACTAGGCTAAGAATTAATGGAAAGCTGACTTGCATCCTATGTGTCAAAAAATTAGCGAAAGTGAAACGGAGGACAAAGTTTACAATAGTATATGGGTAATAATGAACTTTTTTTCATTCAAATTACTTAAAGTGGACCGAGGGGAGTATTGTTTACCGATGGCAAAATACATAGGTTATCCCCTGAGTTATAGATCAAATCCCTGTTACACACTTTTTACGGACGAAAATTACCTTACACACTCAATATTTCCAAAGTGTTCCCGAGAGACACCACTTTTTTCTTGACCAGTTTTTCAAACATATGTTATTAATATCATGCACCAATCATACAACGACACGTGTCATTGACTTAAAAAAAGAAAAAAAGAAAAAGAAAAACAAACCCACCCAAGTTTTTTTTTAAAAAGGCAAAAATGAAAAGGAACCCATCTCCGCTTCATCGTGCCTTAAAGCTCTTCAGCTCATATCTCTGCCTTCATCAACATTTCTCTTTCATCCTTCATCCATTAACATACACATTCAAGAAAAAATCATAGATAGACGAAAAATATAACCCAATTTTCACCGTCTCACCACTATTACTCACCTTCCACAGCCTTCTCGTTATTTCCATTGCCGCCGACCACCCAAAAAAAAACCCAAACATCCACCTTACAATTCAAACAAAAGAATTAGAAGCCCTAATCAATTGCTCTTACGTTCTGATGTATTTATTTTCTGGTTTTTTTTAGATATAACAAGTGGGTCTCCATGGCTGCCCATTGAAAAGGAAAATGAGAAGAGAAGATTTTTCTACATTGTTCTTCCAATCTCACTTGAAGATTTCATTACAAATTCTTCTACACTGTTAAAGATTTCTTCCTGAATCGATTTTTTCAGATATTTTTCCTTGATCTGTTACAATTTTAACAGATTTCTTAATTGAAAGTGGATAAAATGGATAGTAAACATCTGTATTATCTCCAATTTGAACCAAATTACTTTAGAAAAATAAAAAAGGAAGATATTGGAAAAGGATAAAAAGAAAATCCATTTAACCGTTGGATAAGTTTTATTAAATCTGGACCCTTCAAATAAAGCATCAGATATACAGTTTTTACAGTTCAGACGCTTTATTTTGTTTGTAAAACACGCACACAGTTTTTACAGTTCAGACGCTTTATTTTGTTTGTAAAACACGCACCTATCACGTAGATAAAGAGGTGTGTCTTAAGTATTTGGTTCATAATTTTCGTCCATAAAAAAAATGCGTAAAATATATTTGGTTCATAATTTTGTTGTAACTCGTGTAGTTTGCCTTTATCGATAAAAAGAATGATAGAGTAGAGACACACGGAAATAGCAAATAATCAAATTATTTTGAAGAAATCGAGGGACTACCGTCAGTCTTTTAGCTCCAATTTTTTCTATCGAGTTTATCGGTAAATTGGACCGCAAAATTTACTGTTTCGTAAATCTACTGACCCAGTTTGTTTCATACTAAAAAATAAAATAAAAAATTATTTTTAAAAAACTGATTGAGTCTGTCGATTTTTTCAATCAAAATGCATTCAACTAATTAATTAAAGAGTTTTTTATTTTTATTTTTATTTCTACACCAACTTAAGAGTTAAGACAGTGGGAAATTGAATCAATTGGTCCTTACGTTCTGGTCCCACAAGTCTTGTATCCACCAATGAGAGAAAGCCTGCTACGTCAACAGGCTCCGAAGTGCGAATATAGCTCTGCGCTTTTTCCGCAAAGGAGAAGACAGCAAAACAAAGAGGACGAAAGGAGCACAAGCTTGTAATGTAAGTCCAGAAAATTACATAATTCTAATCAGAAGATACAAAAGTAGAATGCAGGGAGGCGACAATTCTCTCACCTCATCATTCATCCTTACGACATTAGTCTTCTCCTTTTTCCTCTTTGCCATTGCTGAATCCACCAACAATTCTCAAGGAGTAAATTATTTATCCTTTTCGATTCATTAACTTCTATGCATTTTGATTTGTTCATTAACCAACTCATTTTTCTGGGTAATTGATTTATTTTTTAATTGCTATAATGACAGGTCCGATGTAGCAAAACATGTGTGGCAGAGAACTGTAACTGTACGTCTCTTTCTCTCTTTCAGCTTTTTTCTCATTTATATTCCTTCTTTTTATATGCATAAGAGCTAATCCACTTTTTCTTTGGTTATTTTTTTCAATAGCAATTGGAATTAGATATGGGAAATACTGTGGAGTAGGATGGAGTGGATGTCCAGGGGAGAAACCTTGTGATGATCTAGACACCTGCTGTAAGATTCACGATGAATGTGTAGAGAAAAATGGTACTGTTTATTTTGTGCCTCTTTTTTCATTTTTGTTGAATTTCTCATGATTAATATCATAAAGTTTGTTGCTTTATACTGTACTATTTTGTTTATGCCCTTTCTTGGAGATTTGGTTACTACTTTGAGCTTGACTACGGCTTGTCTGTTTTCATTCGCTTGAATATGAGAGTGAAACCTTAAGTTGTTGAAAATCCGTTGGAATACACATTGTACAAGAATCTGACATGTTGACATTGAAGCTTTGGTTTTATTAGCTGATTTGGACCTCTGCAATAGTTGGCTTGTGATTCATCATTGGTTGATGTGTCACCTAAGGCGGTTATTCAGTGATTTCGAGAACCTTAGTAGAAAATAAGTTGTCAGACTTGGACTATGTAAATATTATCTTATTGACATATTGTAATTAGAACGAATACCATCTTAAAGTGGGATTACTTCAACGAATAGCAAAAGTGAGAATCGATTACTTAAAGAAATAGCATAATAGCAAAACTGCAGAATGCGAGTCTTTGGTCTTTTGAATATACTGTTGTGTGGCTCATATAATAGACATAGTAGGGTCATTTTAGACTCCTGACTTGTAGATAGTCAAGGAAAGGTGTTTTATCTTGACATCTTTGAAATGCATATGAAACTAGCAGATCTGTGGTTTCTGTAAAACTGAAGTCTCAGTTTGAAATACGTGGACTTGGAATTGGACGTGACAATGCAATTTGAAGAATTAACTGTTGATTTAAAAGGCAAGTACTGCATGCAATCACCTTAATCACTTGTCCAAGACAAGAAACTGTCCCTCTGCTTGTATTTCTGCTGAAGCTTAAAAATATGATAGGATTATTACATGCTGAGAGGATATAAAGGCTTACCTGGTGTTAAGCCCTCAATCTTTGACTTGATGGTTAGAATCTAATCTTAGGAGTCCAATTACATCGACCTTTTTTTTTTAGCAAATCATACTACTAGGCGGGTTTCCTAGTCGCTATTTTATTAATAATAAAAAGAAAAAACTACAATGGAAGAGTACAAGTAAGGGGGGCAAAAGTTACAGTAGTGTTGCCTCTATTGCCTTGGCTATACAATCATCCCTGTGCACCTCCATCGCCACATGATGGCAACCTAATGACGGCTGCCGGCAAAGTCTCACGAGGGCGAACAATCTCATAGCCATTTGGATACTTCCCAAAGGCATAGGACATATAGCAAACACATACTGAGCTAGACCTTACTTTACAATTCCTATTGAGGCATGAACAACCTCATCTACTAGCAAGCATGTAAGAAATAAAAACTAAAAAGAACAAGATATTCTATGATCACCACAGAGTTTATAACACACTCTATAAGATATTACATAAGATGATACTAATAAAACGGTAAACTAAGATGATGTAGAAATTAGAATCTTCCCCCTTCTTCTTCAAGCTTGCGAGTTCTTCAACTTGTAACTCATTGTCTTCCTCTTCAACTATCTTCAAAATATCTTCAAACTTCATCACTTCTTCTTGGACCTATTTGATCTTGTGGAGGTGGTAGAGGCAGCTCCTTTTTGCTTAATAACTCTCATTGGAAGTTGCCTAATGACAACTTCTTGTGTGATCTTGCCATCCCAGCTATGTTGCCTCTCAGGTGCCTTCTTCTTGCTTTTGTTGGATCCACTTCTAAGATGTCTAGGTGAAGGATCTCCTTCCCTAGCTACATTGGCAAAGCTTGCATCTAGAAGTTCTTCCTCTTCCCCTTCTTCATAGAAATCTTTCCCCATATCCACACCAAAAGCTTCAGTAGGATTAAATCCGGACACTAAAGCTCCTGGCTCATAGCTCTTGGCCACTATTCCAATAGACTTAGAGATAGTAGCTACTGCCTTCTTATCAAGAGACTTCAAAGTATCCATGTCATGAGAAATAATAGCATGGAGGATATTCGTAGGAGTCAAATTGTACCTTGCAATGGTAGAACTTGTGCTTGCCATGTTTCCAGTAGATAGAGCCTTAGTATTAGGGTCATGTTTTGATGTAGCTGCTACAATTTGCTGCTTCCCGAATGGTACAAAAATAGGTGCATTTGGACTTGATCCTCTCCTCCTTGGCCCACTATCCGTAGAATTAGAAACCTGCTCACTTTGCGCCTTTGCTGCCTCGTCCTTTGATGGAGGAGTTGCTGAAAATTGATCTGCCTCATCGTTACTATCATCTTGGATGCTATCTGCATAATCTTCTTCATCCTCCTCAACTTGATCAGCCCATGTCTTACGATTAACCATAATAGCACTTGTCGCACCTTGTTGCTCCTTAGAACCACTTCCTTCATTTGTGAATGCTTGAGAGAATGAAATCGTACCTGCATTTGCTTTTTGATTGTTACCTTTTGACAGTAGCTGCTGTCCAGAATCAACTGCATGCTCATCATAAGGCTCCATCGATTGGGAAGGGACCTCATGAACTGAGGTATTCAAAGTAACCAATGGTGCCTTAACCTTTGGAGTGGTATGCATCAACATAGCTGCCTGGGAATCCTTTATCATTTTAGCTAATTCTGGATTGGAGATATGAAGTGTTGGCGTAGGTGTAACTGTAGCTGCCACATCTTTTGGATCGTCAACAAGAACAATGTCCTTTGAGACATTTAATGGCGCATCTGTATTTTTTAATAGCTGCTGCTGTTTTCCAGCTTTTGAATCTGCTTCGCCTTCCACCAGTTCCAACCTCTTCCCAGTATCCTTTTCACCATGTTCATGTGCATTAACCAAGGCATCAAAAGAATTAGAACTCCTAAAGTTTTCTGCTGCAACTTCCAGATTTTTATGGCTTGAAGATGCCATTTTGCCAGGTGATCGATTTACAACAGTCCACTCCTTAGCTTTTACCTGTTGCCCAGATTTACCTTGATTGTCTAGCACCTGCCCATCTATGTGCTTACCATCAAAATGCCCCTGTACATTATTGGAATGATGCACTGCTTCTGTACCCTCCTTCCTTGCACCAGTAGCTACATCAATCTTAGTTAAGTCATTACCAGGAGCTTCTTGTTGCACTTTAGGCTGCCCTTGATCTTTAATAATTTGCCCAGCACTTGTTGCACCACACTCAGTCAACTTCCCTTGCTCATCAGGTGTACCAACAGTAGATAACTTGATCATGCTTGGCTTAACAGTCTGCCCATCGTGCTTGCACAATTGTTGCTTCTCCGAAGTTTGTCCAGCTTTGTCTTGAATGTCACGCACCTGCCCAGCTTGTAAGACTGGATTCACAGCATTGTAAATTCTCGCCAAGGCTATAGAAGTAGGAACATCACGTGTAGCAACAGCAGCTGGTTTTTGTCCAGCGATTTCAACCTGCCCTACTACTGCTACTTCTGTTTCAACACCAGAAACAACTGCTATTTTCTGCCCTTGACCTTTAGTATTTTGCCCAGTACCTGTAAAGATAGGATTGGTATTCCCAGACTCAACCTGATCACCTCCTTGATCATTAACAGGTTGCCCAGCTACAGCTAAATCTTGAGATACCCTAATCGATGCTGTTTCAACAGGAACAATAGCATTAAGAGCCTCAACTACTGCTGCTGTTTTTAGCAGCTTATTAGCATCAGATTTTTACTGAACAACAAGGGAATTATCTCCATTATTATTAACTGAATCCACACCTTTTTCTTCACCAAACTTCTGCAATTTTTTAGCATCTAACAATTGCCACAAATCTCCTTGAAATCGATCAGCACTTCCTGCCTCCAATTCCATATCAATTTCGTTACCTCTTTGAGTATTACCACTGGTAGACTTTGTGATCAAACGACAGTTAATCTCCTCATGGGCTTGATGCTTACAAACAGTACAATACGAGCACACATTCTTGATAATGTTTAATAATCTTTCCAGTTTCCTCATCCAGGTAATGCAGCCTGATGCGATTGGGATGCTTGTCCAGCAGGTCAACAATTACTCTAACCCTAGCAGTGGTAGGTCTTGTACGCTCTTGTGTTGCTATATCAATAGCAATGGGCTTCCCCAACGCAGAAGCTATTGACAACAGAGGTATTTTCGCGAACAGGTTTGGCGGCAGATCAGGGAAGGAAACCCAAACTAATGCTTTCGACGTTTCTTCTTTTGGATTAAACCATTGCGACCAAGGGAATGTTCTAAACTGATGCGACTCTCCATTAAACTGGACATACCCTACTGGTTTTGATAGAACAGCTAAATAATCCTCATACAAATCAAACCTTAATAAAAGATGACGATGTGCTCGCAAACCGATCAAACACCTACCTTTAATTCCCAATTGTTGCGGCAGTATGGTTCTAAGTTCTTGAAAATCTGGCGCTCCATATGATAACTTCATCAAAACAGCTTGATGAAGCCCCTCTTCAATGGCAAATTCGTCCAGCTCCTTGAAGGTGAATTGGATTGTAGGTTCTCCATGAACATATTGGATTGGTTTCAAACTAGTTTTGGTTATTGGTTTTGTTACCTGTTTATTTGCGATTACTGAAGCATAGTTGATTGGTTTAGGAGGCTCTCCCACAGCTTGGAGCTGGGGAGAGACGTTGGAAGCCATGGTTGCCCTAGGTTCTCTTCATGTCGCCTGGGAGAGAGGAGAGAGGAGAGAGCGTGGGTACCATTTCATCTTGCACAGCTGGGAATCGAACCAGGGTCTGCACATACATCGACCTGAATTTGATCTGAGCATACTAATTTGATGTGGAATGAATCACATTCAGGTCCTGTATTTTGTATACCACTCAAATGAAAGTCCAAAAGCTCGGATGTACCTTCATAAAATCCTGACATTGGTTGTGTACTTTCTAGAAACAGTTGGAGAGCTCTAAGAACATTGTTACCTTTAAGGTGAAAATGGAGTAATTTGTAATGACCATTTATCTGGCATCACCACTATATTTTGACCACTTAGGAAGCAGTTAAACTATTTCCGAGTAGACAAGAAGGAATCTCAAAACGTTTTGATTGTGATAAGAAAATAAAAACTATAAAGAACACAAACAAGGAAACACTACTGTCTAATGGTTTTCTTCTTTTCTTTTTGTCCTCTTTTGAGATGATTGCCTGAGGAAAAGCATCTGCATACTACTCTTGACATACTATTCAATCTGTTATTTTATTTCTCAAATGGTATAAGATTTCTTGTGAGAAGTTTATGCAATCGCCATCGTTAAAAAGAGAAAATATTGTCATCTACAATTTTCTAGCCATTTTCAGTTCACTTTTCTGGTACTCCAAAAGGTCCACTATCACTTGCAACTTAACCTGTGATTCTCAGTATTTATTTTGCAATTCCAGCGTCTTTTCTGGCTACTAGTTATTTTTCGGCTACCTTCAGTTAACTTTCCTGCAGAACTCTGCCATTCTGATTACTTCTACACTAATTTGTGATACTTTGAGGCTCAATCGATGCTTTTGACTTTAGCCCAAAACTTTTCTGAATTTCATGGTGAGATATTGTATGTCTTTGGGGAATAGATTATTCCGATGACCTTTTCATGCTTCAATAATCAATATCCTCTATGATTATATTGAGTTCCTCCGGTACCATGCACAATAGTCTCAATAAATAGCTTTTGTCACTCAAACTAATAATCCTGTTTACTAAACTGTGATTGGTCATCATATTAGCAAATAAATCTATTGACAAATTAATGCTAACAAACAATAAGAGATTAGTCATGAAATACTAAAGAGAGTGCTAATGGCAGTGGTAAGTAAGTTAATCATACCACATCTAATCACTTGATGCTGTAGAAAGTTTCTCTGTGTCAAATAGGCTTTCCATATGTTGATGATGGAAACTTAGGCAAAGACTCCTGAATTCATGAGCAGGTGCGTCTAGAATATCTCCTCTATGTAATTCTTAAGTGCTTAGACAACATTATCACAGGAATAACACATGCTAGTTTCTTGTTGCACGAAGTTTAACCTATGCCTAAGCATGGTCATCTTACTGAGGCCAAATGGAGTTTTGCTGTGGAACATTCTGTACAAAACTTCCATTTTTGTTTCTGAATTATTGTGCACCACATAGCCTTTCTGATACATTTGGCTCTTGTGATTCTTATATCATTGGCTTGAACATGAGATTATTTGTACGAATGCAGAGTACTCAGTTATTCTTCTAAAACTTGTTCTACTGCATTTCAACTGAGAAATAAAATTCAGTCTTGGTTTAATGATTACTGTACGTCTGAAATGAAACTATAGGCAGTAACCTTTATGCATAAAGTTGGGAGCGGATGACTTCCCTTTCAGCAGCCTATGATGCTACAGAGAAGAAAAATCATGCCTTACGGTTTTTAAACTTTTATTTGTTTGTCTTTTCTGGTGCCCCATAGCACTACAGGATGGGGAGGGGGCTTGGTTCTTGGCGTAGAATCACACATGCTTTGAATCCTTACTGATCAAGTTTCTAAATTTTACCAGAGAAGTGATTCTGTTGGTTAAACTGAACTATAAAATGATTCTAAGCCATAATTCACTTTTGTTAAAATCCTTCTGATGAGGAAGCGCTGAGAAATATTTGATAAAGAAAGAGCAATAAACTCAAAGGGAATATTACGCAGTAGCTTCTTTTGTTGGCATGTATTTCCATGCGAATCTGTAAGCATCCAAGTAATGCCTACCTTCCTGTCCCACATTATTCAGAAAATTGATCATTTTATTCACAAAATGCTTTTTACATCCTAATCATGGCAGTTACACCTGTTAAAGAGAGGAAGAACTTGCAATGGAATATGGTTTGTTTGGTGAACTTTATAGCTCAGTGTCTGATTCAATTGCTTCCAACTTTCAGGTATGACAAACGTTAAATGCCATGAGAAGTTTAAGAGGTGCATAAAAAAAGTTCAGAAGTCTAGGAAAGCTGGGTTTTCCAGAGAGTGCCCCTATGATGTAGCTGTTCCAACGATGGTACAGGGTATGGACATGGCTATTATGTTTAGCCAACTGGGAAACTCAAAGCTTGAACTTTGATCAATTCACTCTGCTAGAAGGATAACATATACTTGAAATATTCATATTAACCATTAGTTGTTTATTCAATTGTACAAACAGGAATATTCATCTCTTTTTAGGAGCTTTGCCTTTTTGAATTGTCCATTTTGTATTAGTGCCAAATACGTAGCTATTCAATTGTAAAGGTTTACCAGTGGAGGTTTCTGTATGATTCGAATAGGTCTCCCAGTCTATAATCTGTTCAGTGAATATGAAAAGGCTTAGTAGGCGTTTGGACATAAAAAATGTGAGATTTGACAAAAAGTTGTTTTTAAAGTTAAGTTGAAAAAAGGTACGTGAATTATGCATATTTGAGACACCTGCAAGTTTTCACTCATGATTTTAAGCATAAAAACAAGAAAGTTGAATGGGGCCAGATTTTAAGTTTTCACTCAAAGATTTTCACCTGGGAATTGTGAGCAATATATCAATCTTCCTATGGTCATCGTCTTGCCTATTAGTGCCAGATTTTAAGTTTGGTGCGGATAGAGATGGCAATGGGGCGGTGCAGGCCGGGGCGGGTTTGTGTATGTGTGTAGTCTGGGGCGGGTTCAAATATATATNAATCTAACGTGGGGCGGGATGGTTGCGGGTTGGAACACTGCTGAAATTTCGTTGCTGACACGTCTGAGCTCTTGGAATATTCTTGATTATTTTTTAACTAAAGGCTCACGGGGAGATTGGCAGCTTTGAGCAGGTTTATTTCCCGGTCATCAGAAAAATGTCGCCGTTTCTTCGCATTGCTCAAAAAGGAAAATAATTTCGAATGGACCCCGGAGTGCCAACAGGCTTTGAGAGATTTGAAAAGGTACTTGTCAAGGCCTCCGTTGCTTTCGAAACTAAAAGAAGGTGAAACGTTGTCAGTTTACCTCGCGGTCTCGGAAGTCGCAGTAAGTGTAGTTTTAGTCCGTGGGGACGAAGATACGCAATCTCTCATTTATTACGTCAGTAAAATTTTGACAGGAGCAGAAACTCGCTACCCACATTTGGAGAAACTGGCCTTAGCTCTCGTAGTCGCCGCTCGGAAGCTAAGGCCCTACTTCCAATGTCACCCGATAGCCGTAGTGACCACTTTCCCTTTGCGGAACATCCTTCACAAACCCGAGCTCTCGGGTATATTGGCCAAATGGGCCATAGAAATGTGTGAGTTCGACATAGAATGTAAACCAAGGACTGCAATTAAGTCACAAGTCTTGGTTGACTTTGTGGCCGATTTTAGTCCGGGATTACTGCCTCTGACAACCAAAGAGGCAGTAATGGTGTCAGAATCGACATCGGGGGTTTGGACCTTATTTATAGACGGAGCTTCCAACGTAAAAGGGTCCGGGCTTGGTATAGTATTAATCACGCCTTCGGGGAAAACCCTAAGGCAAGCCATCAGAACGGTCCTTTTAACTAACAATGAAGCGGAGTATGAGGCTTTAATTGCAGGGCTCAAACTGGCCCGGGGAATGATTCTGAGGTCATCGAAATCAAATGCGACTAACAACTGGTGGTAAATCAGGTCTACGGGATCTTCAAAACCAAAGAGGAGCGCATGCAACAATACGTGGTAAAGGTCCAGGCTCTGTTAGCGCGATTTCGGGAGTGGTCGATTACTCATATCCCGAGGGAAGATAACGCAGAAGTAGACGCATTGGCTAACCTTGGATCATCAACATAAATAAAGGGATCGGAGTCCGAGATGATAGTATAACTGATGAACTCGATCCTGGATACAGATAGCTACTATGAGGTAAATGCGACTAATTTAGTCTGGGACATGAGGAATGAAATCATCGATTATCTCGAGCACGGAAAATTGCTCGAAGACTCCAAAGCGTCCCGGGCGTAGCGCGCCAAAGCAGCGCGATATAACTTCAAGAGAAGCAAACTGTATAGAAAATCTTTCCAAAGCTAACTATGTTATGCGAGAAGTCCACGAAGGGATATGCGGCAATCATGCGGGCGCAAATTCCTTAGTGCTGAAATTGGTAAGGGTAGGATATTATTGGCACCGCATGAAACAAGATGGCAAAGACTTCGTACGAAAGTGTAATAAGTGTCAACGCTACGCATCAGTGGTACATCAACCGGCAGAACCGTTGCATTCAGTTTTGTCCCCGTGGCCGTTCATAAAATGGGGGATGGACATCGTCGGGCCATTGCTCCCGGCCCCCGAAAAGGTAAGATTTCTATTGTGTGAGCACCTAATTTTTGACTATATTTGAATTTTTATCACCTTCTACTATGCAAATATTTTAAGAAATTTAATATATATTTTTTAGCTTTGTTATATATTTTTATAAATAGGGTAAAAATTATAAATAATTTAAAAGGTCAATTATTACTATTAATATTATCTTTATTTTTATTTTTCATCTTTATTTTAAAGTAAAAGTATGTGGAATTTTTTTTTAAAAAAAAGTAAAAGAAAGTGGAAATTTAAAAAATAAAAGTAAAAGAATGTGGAAATTTAAAAAATGAAAAGTAAAAGAAAGTTGGAATTAAAAAATAAAAGTAAAGTTAACTGAAATTTTTTTTAAAAAAATTAAAAGTAAGTTGAAATTAAAAAAAGAAAAGTAAAATAAGTGAGAAATAAAAAAAAAAGTAAAAAAAGAGGGAATTTAAAATTAATAAAAGTAAAAAAAAGTGAGAAATTAAAAAATAAAAGTAAAGGAAAGTGGAGAATTGTTTTTTTTTTAAAAAAAAGGGAAGTGGGAATTGTTTTTTAATTAAAAATAATAATAAAATAATAAAATAAAATCTGAAAAAAATCCGAAAAGTTTTCTATAAATAGAAGAGAAATGTGAAGAGAAATGGAGGGAGAAGAAAGAGAGAAAAAGAGAGAGGAGGGAATTGAGATAAAGTTTTCTTCTTCTTCTTCTACGCTAAGAGAATTTATACTCGTGTCATTCTTTCTTTCGGAAACTCCAGTAAAAAAGAAACAACAAAACCAGCTGCGAAATAGCTTGAAAACAACTTCAAAATCAGTCCAAAATTAGTTCCGAAACAATCGTTAAAGTGAGGTGATGTTCGAGTTCGGTGGTTCGAGGTTCTGGCGATGTCGCCTTTAGAAGCCTCCGATCTTGGTTCAGATCTCTAGCAGAAGTATTAAGTCGATTCTCTTCATTGTACTTGGATTTGAGAGCTCCCATTTTAAATGAAAATTGCGGCTGATTGAGGTCCGTTCTTGCCTCTTTCGATTTATATTTTTTGGTCTATCTTTTCATTATGTTTGTTCATGAATCTCTGTTTATGTGTTTGCTTGTGGTATTTGTTGAAGAATTTTCATTGGTTCATATCCTGATTTGCCATGAGTTTTGATTGTTTTGCTGATTAAATTTTAGAGTTTATATTTGGTTAATTAGTTAGTAATCAGGCCATGTGATTTGTTTGTAAATGTGTCTTGGGCCGTGAAGATTTGATAATTAGTTGGGATTGGTTGACATATGATTGTTTAGTTTTGGACTATAATGAAAGAGAAGAATTTGGGTCTCAATAAGTTGAACTTCATCCGACCCAATATAACAATTCTAGCCCTATTCCTTAAATAATTGAATAAGCTAGCCCGCCTTTCCATAACTAATTTACTATATTTTTCATCAATAATTCCATAATTCTTGGACTTTCCCAATAATCTAAAATCTTAGAAAAATAATCAACTCATGAAACATTCGTAGAATACTTAGGCGGACTTTTAATTTACTATCGTGATTGTGTACACGTTCGCGTGACATAATTATGATTTCCAAAATAAATCAAGGTACACGTTCGCGCGACTTTGGCCAAACAATCCTTAAGAATAATAAAGCATGATTAATCGTGTACACGTACGCGTGACATGATTTAGCGCCCCAAATAAAATGGATTCACGCATACGTGATCCGTTTCAAAGATAAATAACGCTATAATTTAAAAGCGGTAAAAGACAAAATACACATAGGTTCTTAAACACGTAATTAACAATTAAGCCAGGTATGATTGAAGAGACCGTGCTAAAATCATGGAATCCGAAAATGCCTAACACCTTCTCCCGGGTTAACAGAATTCCTTACCTAGTCTTCTGTATTCGCAGACCATAAATAAGAGCCAATTTTCTCGATTTTGGATTTTAAAATAAACCGGTGACTTGGGACACCATAACAAATATTCCAAGTGGCGACTCTTATCAAATAATCCTATTTCGAATAATGTCACCTTAATTGGAAAAACTCATCTATCCCTCGGGAAAATGGAGGTGTGACATATTGATTTTGACTGACTATTTTTCTAAGTGGGTGGAAGCAGGTCCTTATCAAAAGATCGGTGAGCGTGAAGTGGTTGATTTCTTGTGGGAAAATATAATTTGCATATTTAAAATACCAAAAGAGATAGCATGCGATAATGGGCCACAATTTATCGGTGTAAAAGTCACAAAGTTCCTCGAAGATTTAAAAATAAAGAGGATAACATCTTCACCCTACCATCCGAGCGCAAATGGTCAAGCGGAGTCAACGAACAAAGTGATTATACAAAACCTCAAGAAAAGGTTGGAAGCGGCTAAAGGTAATTGGCCCAAGAAATTACCCGGAGTTTTATGGGCATACCGAACAACGGCTAAATCGAACACATGAGTAACTCCCTTTCCCCATGTGTACGGGGCAGAAGCTTTAATCCCGATGGAACTAGGGGAACCCACCTTGAGATATTTCCAAGCAGATGAAGAATCAAACAATGAAGCAATGTTAGTCAACTTGGAGCTACTCGATGAGCGCAGGGACTTGGCGCATGTAAGAATGGTAGCCCAAAAGTAGAGAATGGAGCAGTATTACAATCAAAGAGCCAACCTCCGTTATTTCAAAGTAGAAGACTTGGTCTTAAGGAAAGTAACTCAAAGCACCCGAGAGCTCAACGCAGGGAAGCTAGGTCCAATATGGGAAGGCCCCTACCGGATTTCAGATGTCACCAGGAAAGGTTCATATGAATTGGAGAACCAAGATGGAGAAAATTTGCCCAGCAACTGGAACGTGGCATACCTCAAAAGATATTATTGCTGACGAGCATCACCTGAAGTGAAAGTATGTGCTGCACTCTTTTTTCCTTCGTCCAGTTTTTGTCCCAATTAGGTTTTTCTCGCAAGGCTTTTAACGAGGCATCAACAGAAAGCATACTACGAGAAAAACTCCAATATCAGCAATAAGACCTTTAATA